AATTGAAAAAAAAACTATGTTATAATTTATTGTGATCTCACTTTGATTTAGTTGGTATTTAAATTATAGTAGATATATTTAGCTCTTGTTTGACCCATATTTTTCATATCATAATGAGAAAATTGACCATTGGAGAAGAGGCTGGGTTCCACACCCAAATTTTCATTTTTTTTCCCAAAAATTTGGTTCAAACAGGGGTTTAGTTTGTTCTAGACTTATTGCTAATAAAATATAAATATATATTGAATTCAATGAATTAATGATATAAAAATAGATTGGCAAAAAAAATATGACAAAATCGATGATTTAAAATCGAACCAAACCGTTAAATTTAGATTTGAGTTTTTTTCCAACCGTTCAAAATAGTTTAGTTTAGGTTTGGGTGATTTGGTTTGAAAATCTGTCAAAAATCGGTAAAATTGGACCGCTTACACCCTCAGCTCAAACAAGGGCTAAATCATTAACCAATGTTGAAAGTACAATCTTTAACTACTCACTCAATTTAAAGCTGGCACCATAATCTGGTGAAGTGAGAACGAGGGCACGCTATTAGTTACTAGTAGGAATTCCGAGACTAGCTCTATGGCGTCTAGGCCATTAGGCTACTATTTTGGAATGTTGGACTTTGATTAAATTGGGATTAACTCAGTTAAGTGGAAGCTCTTGCAAGGTGTGTTTTTTTTTTTTTTTAAGTTAACATTATACAATAATCAACAAAAATTTCCTGACCCGAGCCCGTTCACATTCACTATGCCCCATTTGACCTCCATTAATTTTCATTCCATTACATTTTATTTTTCTCTCTCCTATTTTCAACCACATAATCTTCCAAAAATTAATATTACACGTAAATCGATAACTTTTCCTTTTTTTTCAACCACTCATTTTTCAAAAAAAACACTATTCTACCTATTTTTATTTTCACAAAATGAGAGCTGAACAAGGACTTAATTAATATCTGATCACAAAGTTGTTTCACGGTGCAAATTGTTAGAAGGAATTTAGGCTACTATTTTGGAATGTTTGACTTAGATCATTGGGATTAACCCCGTTAAGTAGATGATCTTGCAAGGTTTTTTATTTTTTATTTTTTTATAAGTTAACGGTCTACAATAATTAACAAAAATTTCCTGAACAGAGTCCGTTCACATTCACTACTAAATAATTAATATCTTATCATGAAGTTGTTTCTCGGTACAAATTGTTAGAAGGAATTTTGAGAATGCACCAGTGCAAATGAAATATGGAAACACAAACAGATGTATGTGCATGCATATGCATACAAGCAGTAGTGCAAACATTTTTTTTAGAAGACGAATTGTTCTTTAATACAAATCAATTCTATTCTCCTCCGGACCCTCGATTTATTTGTTCTCCAAGAATGTTGAGCCGGGTAGGTAAGCCATGTTTCAGCTGTTAAACTGGATATTATGAGCTTTTAGTAACTTAAGATCAACATAAACATTTAGCATAGAATCTAGATACAATCTTAAGTCATAAATTTTATCCATGTTTTATAATAGACATAGCTTATATAAAATGAACAAAAATGGAGAGATTGAAGTTTTGTGTAATTCTTATTTTCAATTATGCTGATATAAGAGAGTACTAACACATATTGATGGAACAGTCACAAGGACGTAAACTGACATAAGAAAGGAGTATTTCAAATAACAACTTTTCCCTAAAATCTTAAGATTATAATTATTAAAGAAGAACGTATGATTCTATCTAGTAAGTTATCACTATGAAACAACTCTAAGAGCATGTTTGGCTTTAAGCCTCTGTGTTTGGTCTAGCTAAAGATAAGATATTTAGTAGATTTTTACAAAGTTGATAAAGGCTATGGTTGAACATTTGTAGATCCCATAAAATATGTGGTCAAAGTTAATTATGACTTTGACTTAAATTAAAATCTATATTATAATCCCCACTAAACAGGGCTGAAAGTAAAAGCTAATTTTAAATAATTTTTGTTCCCAAACATGTTTGTATATATTACTTTTTCTTACTTATAACATATTTAAAAGTATCTTTGTGTTAACATCAAAATAAGTAACTTAGGGTCCTTTTTATTGTAAAGATGGAATTGAATTGAATTGAAAATGAATTCTAGGGAATTGAATTGCCTAAAAATTATTTTCCTGAAAATTGTAAATCATTGTGTTTGATTGGTAAAATTTTCTACTAAAAAAATGTTGAAATAAAAATATTTTTTGCTATTCGTTTATCTTTGTTTTACATGAAAATTGTCAATTAAAGGAATATATTTTATTGCTATTGGGGATGAAATTTATTTCCATTGCCAAAAAATAAAAAATAAAAATTCATGAAATTTAAGAAAATCATCTATCTTTTAGTGTTCGTTTGGCTTTGTTTTACATGAAAATTGTCAATTAAAGGGAAATTTTTTTTTACAATAATTTTTAGAATTTGTTTCCATAGCAAAACAAAAAATAAGGAAAAAAATTGCTACAGTAGACTAAAAATGAATTCTCACCTTTTCATCAAAAAGCTAAAAAATGTCTAGGTGGCATCCAAACCAAGAAAAGGAATTCCAAGGAAAATTTTGTAGTATCAAACATCAAAAAGGTAGAAAATGTTCAAATATTTTCCAAGTTCCATGGAATTCCTTTCCTATCAAACATGACCTTACTTATTTTTAACTTTACCAACAAAATATTAATATATTGCAACCAACTTATCGCTAAGTAAAGTTTTTAAGCTTAGTGAAACATGATCTATGTCATACAAATAAATCTTGAATCTTTCCATACGGCATAGCATATTTGTATTAATATAGAAGATACCACACTGGGATGCATTGGTACAGGTTCGTTACCTTAGTGCTGGTCCATAAGCAACCAAAACTGAGCTAGTCTTTTTATCGGATTTCTGTTCACATCAAGAAAGGGAAACAAATGGAGTCAAAATCTTGTTCATAGATACGTAGAGCTTCTAGATTTGATAAAAATGTATATGTTTTTCTACCAAAGCACAACGATTTAGACTATAATTTTTGTTTATATGCCATATAGGCCACCACAAGTGTATAACAAGACAAACTGAATCAGCAACAGATTATAGCTTTCACTATTATGAACAAACAGAGCGAATATCTTTTAATATCATTATCACACAACGAGGGTGAGGCTCAGAAAATAAAAGACATTTCAAACCATTTCTTCCTAATTCAACAATTAAGCTGACAATTATGGTTCTCAAAGTCCCCTTTTCTCTCATATCACTATCATTGCACAATTTATACTTTTTTTAGTTATTATGTCTGTTAATTTTTCAGCCTGTTCATGGCAGAGGAGCCATAGCAAGTAATATCATGAGAACGGAATTAATGTAGAATCTAAGAGCTTGAGTGGTCGGGTTACACAAGAAAATCAATGTACATTGAGAATGTGCAAGTAAGAGACGAATGATTTTATGCAACGCACATCTAACATATTGTATAACAACCCGATTTCTATGCTTAAGCTGATATATTATACGTACTGTCCTATTGTTGGATATTGGTTAAATAAATCGAGAATTGAAAATCGATTAAAGTGACTTCGTATCGACTTCGGCCAAATACTCAAAAACTTGACTCAATCCGTTTAGGCAAAATTGTTTGCCACTTCGCCACTTCGGGGCACACAAATGGGGATCGACCTGCCCGGTCAGGTCGCGGGGGTTGGGGGCAACGCCCCCGAAAGAGAATTTTGATTTCTATGCATGTATTGAAGAGTATATTTGGCATTTCGAAAACCAATATCGGATGAATGAGAAATTACCAAAAAGGACGAAAATCAGTGAATAGACACATTTTCATAAAGGTGCATTGTTTGGAAAGGGTGCATGGTTTGGCCTCAACCATTTCGTCCACACCCTTTCATGGTCTATAAATAGGACCCTTTGGGTGTCCTATTCCTCACAATTTGATATGTAAAACGTCTCTCATCCTCTCTTCTATCCAAAATCAAAATCATTTCATTTATTTTGATTTTCTTTCATTTCATCATTGGAGTACATAAGCCTAAATTTGGTTCGTTGTACTTGTGTTTTGGAGTGCNAGAAATGCTATTGAATGAGGACAAAATCAAATTTTCTCCGCACAAACACAAGCCAAACCAGAGCAAACTGGAATTCAATTCAGATCAATTTAGTTCATTTGCATCCCTAATATTAAGAGGAGAATGCAATTTTCTTATAAAAATGAAAAGAAAAAAGAAACATGTAACAAAGAAAGAGAAGTCATCATGATATTAGAAGACAGAAACTCAAAACTAAATCAAAAGAAAAGAGTAGAAAGAAAATGGCTAAAATAAAGTAAATCTACAAATCTATCTCCCTCAAAACTTCCAATGAATAAACTTATCGAGCACAATCCTCATTTTCCTCTATGCCTAAAATATGCAAACCAAGCACGTTATCATAGAAATGCTCAACACTTATTCCTAGCAAAATATCAAAAGCATAAAATTATAGTCTTGTCCTAGGGAGAATCCTTACCTTATCGGGGGAAGTGAATGAAAGATGATTATTTAACTTGTTGAACACTATAGAAAACTTTTGCACTAGAAGCTGTGTAAGGCATCATCACCTGTAACACAAGAGCGTAATTCAGGAATAAGGGTAGTCAGTCGGTGAAGAATCTCAGATTAATTTAATCTCACTTTGGCGAAGTTGTGAACTACGAAAGATAAGAAAAGCATCAAGACTTCAAAGTCTAAAGGACTTCGATAGTAGCCTAACAGGATACTTACACCATTAAATGCTGCAGGCCAATGTCACAAAGATCTAGGCTTATAAGTTACATAAATAAAATCCAGATTTTGTTGTGATAAATAATATAAATTGAAGATTGTCTATGTTTATTAACTTGCACCGCGACTGTGTGAAAGTAAATAATCATTCACCATACTATGATTAATTCTTATGCAGTTTCTTTATTGGATTCTACATGCATTGTATTTGTGTGCTATCTATCTTATACTAGTTTTTGACTTCTAATATAACTATCGTTACTTTATTTTTGTGTTTTACAACTATGCAGGACTGTATATATGAACACTTTGAGCAAGTTTTAGCCAGTCTTATGAATAAGTAACAGTTACTTTTAAGTAATTGTATGTTTCTAAAAATATGTTTAGATGTGTTAAAAATATGTTACTTTTTTTATTTTCATTATTTAAAGTAAAAATGAGTTACTAATTCTGGAATTTACTCTCATCTTATTGCAAAAATAAGTTAATTGTTTACAGCTTCAGCTATTAAAAATTTATATATCTTATAACAAACTTAATTATTTGTTAGTAGATTTACTTCTTAGGGAATTAGCGCACCCACTCCAAGTTCTGGTACCAGAAATATTTATTCCATTAAGCCCAATCATAATTATAGTGAGCACAGATTTTACAAAAAGTCCAGAACTCGAACCAAAATATAGTGGAAAATAACTTTCCAAAATCATAATACAAATTAAGAAATTCCAGCAATCAGTTAGGAAGGTAAAATCATTCAATCATATGCCTATTTTTTAAAATGTAACAGAATATAACGAAGTAACCACTAATACTAAGCACAACTAAGCACAGAGATACACGTCCTTAGTCTAACTAAATTCTGCTGATTGTACATTCATAAGTATGGTAAAAAAAAACGTTCATGCATTTCATAACACCTAGAGATTACAATGTCGGTAGTAATCAACTGTAAACAGTAAGAGATAATTTCAGGCGAAGATGCAACGCATAAACGGAATAATGAAAAGCCGAAGCTTTCACTTACAGATAAAATGCGCCATGGGATCTGGCTCGGAGAGGCGAATGCGATTGCTGCAAAATTTTGAGCACCGCAAANAATGATTGTCAAACAAGCACCAAATAAGAAAAATAAATGCCTACAAAAAACCATTTGTTCAATTCTATTCCAAATATCATAACATATCGTCAAGCCATCAGTGGGATAAACTAAAAGGAAAAAGACAAAGCTACTCTTCTGCAAAATGAATTAAACGGCCTATTCAAACGCAATAAGCCAATACCACCAGTAAGTAAAAGCCGCATAAATGTTGTTCCAGCAAGAAAAAAAATATCTTCTGCCAAAAAAAATTAGGGAAGAAAAATCTGCAACAACCAGTACTTGACTTTAAAAGAACTGACTTTATAGCTAATTAGGTACCAGGCATCTTATAAAGATGGAAAAACTACAACGTGAATGAAAGAGAGAGATTCTGAAACTCAAACGGCCTGCTTCTAGAAATATTTAATTGCCTCAAGTACTCACCTTAAATTTTGATTGATTAACTAGCTGCCAAAGAGGCCGAAGCAGAATGGTAAGAAATAGAAGGTTTGACATGTAGAGGTCTCATGTCATGGCCGCAAATATGCAGGCTATTCCACAACTGCATGTTGGTTTTCATCCCACATTATAATTATTTGGTCTGGTGGTTATTGTGCAATGAAAACATATTCTGTGTTCATTAAAAAACGTATGGATAGATTATCATGATCTTTAATAACAGAGATAGAAAAAGAAAATCTACATCAATATGGTCCGTTGCAATTTTTAGACATGCTTGTTTTGGACATAGTTGTTTTGACTAGAGAGAAATCACAAGTCTGACTAGATATGTATGAGGAATAAGGTTTAGCCTGTTTCCCTAAACAAGCCGCACAGGAAAAACCTGTATATCTATAAAAGTTCATGAATACTATAATCTTGAGATGCATTTTCAAATTTATCTTACTTTTGACTGCTAGAGATAAAATATAATATTAATTGTATCCATAATAACACAACTTTTTCCCTAATCATTATATTCCACTATTAACTAACTATTTTTAACGTTTTCAACCATATTATAATAGATAATTAAATTGAATTAACTAGTTTTCCATATCCATGTTTGTGACCAACTCTTTCAGTCGAGAAATGCTATTGAATGAGGACAAAATCAAATTTTCTCCGCACAAACACAAGCCAAACCAGAGCAAACTGGAATTCAATTCAGNTATCGTTCAGTCATTTATGTCGACTGATAAAATTGGTTCTCATCATCGCCCGGGGGTCGTTTGACAACATAATGTCTAACAGATGTCAGGAAAGGGATCAACAAAGTCATTGTGATGTGGAATGGATTGGAAAGCAAAAACATGTTCATTGAATACAACATCTCTAGAAATGAAGAATGATTCGGATTGAATGTCATTTAACTTGTAGCCCTTCACACCAGGAGGATAGCCAATGAATGCACAAGGTTTGGCTCTTGGATGGAATTTTGATCCATGTGAAGGCAAGTTGAAAGCACAACATAGGCAGCTGAACACTCTAAGATGTTTGTAATCCACTGGATAATCATAGAGAAGGGAAATGGAGTTTTATTATTTAAAATAGGTGAACTGTTTATAAGAAAGGTGGCCGTTAATACACATTATCCCCAAAATTAAATAGGGACTTGTGACTGGAAGAACAAGGCTCTAGCTACATTAAGCATGTGTTGATGTTTCCTTTCAACAACTAAACTCCATTTAAGTCTCTCAACACGTGAAAATTGGTGAATGACTCTCTTTGAAGCGAAAGAAATCGACAAACTTTAGTTATGGTACATTACCAGACTCGAAAGTCTTAATCACTTTGTAAAACTGAGTCTCAATCATTTTGAAAAACATGGGGACAATAAATTCAACATTTGATTTTTGTTTCATGAGATATATCTATGTGAACCGTGCACAATCATCCACCGTTGCGGGAAAAAATCTATGTCCTACATGTGTTTGAACATAATATTAACCGCAAGTATCAAAATGAATTAGATCAAAAATACTATGAGAGAAATGGTTATTTGATACAAAGGAAAGACATCTCCTGTTTTACCAAATGGCATAAAGTACATCGAGCAGATTTGTATTGCTTGGAACCATTACATGTAAGATATAATGATCTTTTAACAATTCTATTTTCTGAAAAGATAAATGACGAAGTCTGTGAGAAAAGCCACATAATTTTTTGTTGAACATATAGAATCAAACATGTAATGAGAAGCATTACAATTGCTAAGAACAAAACTAGAAGGATTAGCATCTAATATGTAAAGATCAGCAACTCTTTTACCCTTGTCAATCATCCTCAAGCAAGATATATCATAAATAATGCATGAGTCAATGAGAAACTTGATGATTGTAAGAGAATCCATGGTTAATGAACTTATACATAGTAGATTTAACTTGAATTGAGGTACAAATAGAACATCTTCAAGTATCATATCAAGGCTGCTTTTCATGGTTCCATTGAAATATGCAAGAATTCATTCATGATTGGCCAATGTGATATAAGCATTCTGAATAGATTTTATTGTGTGGAATGCTGACTTTGTGAAACAAATGTGAGCTATTGCACCTAAATTGAATACCCTATGTATAGGGAAAATAAATATTGGATTAAGAGAGATGGATAGACAAGTACCTGATATATGATCACCATTTGCATCTCCTTTAGCATCAACTTTTGCAATTGAAAGGTGAGTATTCAGCACATTCATCAGCTGCTGATATTGTGCAGATTTAAAGTCAGCACAAAGTTTCCTACATCGCCATGTGTGTGTTTAGGAATGGCTTCATATGCTTGGTTCATAATGGCATGATAGCTATCGGGAATTGATTGATTAGAACTAAATTTTTGCTTAGCTTTATACCCAGGATGATATCCATGTAACTTATAGCACTTATCAACTGCATGACCATTGTAACCACAGTAAATGCAAATAAGTCGTTCATTCCTCTGATATTTGTTTTAAGATTGTCCTGCAGCAGTTTTCTTAAGATCATTTTTGATATGGAACGCCATAGAATCGATGTGCCAATACTATATTAACACTCATTTGTTGCTCTCATTGAGACACGAGTGCAAACGCTTTGTTTATGGGAAGGTTGGGATCCATCAGTAATAATTGGCATCTAACTTGAGCAAACGATTTCAATTCCATTGAGAAGGACATAATCTATTCTATATGATAGTGGTCAGCTAGCTTTTTGGTACCTCTAATGTCGCATCTTCCACAAGAACACACGAGCCTGTAGTTACTCAATTATTCCCAAATGTTCTTTATTTTGGTAAAATATACTCCTATTGATATTTGTCCATGAGTGAGATTCATCAATTTCCGTCTCAACTGAAAAATGCAAGGACCATTCATTTGTTGGTACCTCTCTTGTATCTGTGCATTGTATGTTCTCTTGTTGTATCCAGTTCTCCATGCCTCTTACATGTCATTTTCATTCTTGGTCTTGTTATTTTAATTCCAACGTGTGGTCCAATCTGAGATCTTTTCCTTAGCTTTTTAGGTCTACTTGCCTGCTTCTTCTTTACTAATGGCGCCAATGGATTTTTTTCCAATTCAGGCCAAAGTTCAGACCTGACATTGGATGAATCATGGGACTGTATGCTCTTAGGTATGTCTCCTTCTTGTAGTATTCATCTGAAAATGGCATGTACATGGGAAATTCCATTCAACTACCATTTCCTACATGCACATTCTTTCCTCACCAAGTTCGCACTCCACCTCAAACCATCAGTGTTGTGAACTTCAATTTTTTTATTACTTGCATAATCTTCCCTCATGAACTTGGCATCTGATTTAGCATTCTCGATTATCCCTACAATTATTGGACCATACGCATGATCCCACCTTTGAACTGTCTCCATTTTTTACATCCATCCATATCAATTGTTGATGCCTAATCTTATCTAACATTGTGACTATAGGCTTCTCTCCAGCTATTGCAATGAAGGCATTGAAGGCCTTACAAAGGTTATTCAACAATATATCACACTTAGTATGTTCCCAAAAATGGGATCTTGTCTATTGAGCCGCTGGCTTCTTATTAAACCAATTGAAGGCTCGTTCGTTCGCTGTCTATATCTCATTCATAATTACATTCCATTTTGGTATAGTAATAGACTTAGCTGCAGCCAAGAACAAACTCTTTAAAGTTAGGCCTTTATATTTGAGAGTGAAATTGCTATACAAATGTCTAGCACAGCATCTGTGTTTTACACCTTCACATCACCGATTTAGGGTTTCAACCAATCTTAGCAAACAACATCAAAGAAAACAAAACATCAAAATGATTAGGGTAAATAAAAGAGAAAAGACACTCCTGGACACTAAGAGACTATTCAAGAGTTAAACTTTTTCAAATTTTTAATTCTAAACAGTGAAAAATGGTGGCTATCTAGGATTTATAAAATCTTGAAGAAATTTTTATCTTTTTCTTTGAAGATCCTCTTCAACCCACCTTTTCCAACCATTGTAAGTGGACATTATGCGCTTGTTACACGACAACCCCTTCGAAGCTTTTTGTTCATATCTCTCATCAACATGCGTTATTCGATAATGTCCGTCTAGTAGGCCCCCTACTAACTTGAGCGAACATTCAAATATCTGTCCTATCCAAAATTTTCCACAAACCTCTCTGAGATGAATAGTCTTTTTGTGCAATTCCAAATGTGAAGTTGGTCTCCTTATCTTGTTGGTGAAACGAAGGGCGCCTTTGGCACAATGATTCTCTTAGCCGGTCTTGGAAACAAATTATTTTTTTGGCAAGCTAGCAAGATAGAATATATATCTAAGATTCGATAGCTAAATGACATCTAAGTAAGATGAATGTTTATGCTATTTTAGAGTTTTTGAAGTCGGCGTTGTAGTTAAAGTCGGCGTCAAAGTGTTTGCAGAAGACAGCGAAGTGACGAGGTGAGGTGTGACAATAGAAAACGTATGACATGGGAAAGAGAGGAGAGTTCTGAAATGAATAAAGTGATAGAAGGTTGAGGTTTGGGGGGTTTTAGATTTAGGAAGTAA